CTGCTGAACAATGAACAAACCTGTTTGCACTTATTGTTTCCCTCTGTAGGTGTTACAGTATGTTAATGTATTACAGTGGGGTTTAGTATTAAGAATATGTTTTACTTTAGGTGAAACATTCTACTTTATTTATGTATTTATTTATTTTCAGTGTAATTTCCATTTTACCACACATTTGTCCAACTGTTGAGCTGCCCTTGTAGCTACTTTGCTGTCACGGTTTACTCTTTGTAAAGACTCGTCCAACACACTATGGATGTTGTTAAATAAAAGTAAGACATTTGTAGTAATCAGTGTGGTGTTTTTGTACAAACCTAAATCCTCTTAGTGGTATGAAATATTAACACCATAAAAGCTGAATGAAACAGACTTTCAAGTATTGATGACTAGCACTATAAAAGAGTTATTAAATATAACTCTACTAACATACAGTGAGACGAGTTCATCTACCAGCAAATTATGCACTATAATAAAGCCCATTTCGCTCCCTGCATCTGAAGTAAAAGAGTTTATTCTCACACGTCAGATGCTGCTCCACAGACCAGTTCTTCTGCTGCTCAGGACTGTGTATGTCTTTGCCATGCCCTTGTTTGCACAGTGAAAATGATCTTTCTTTGTCAGGGTGCAGCTGGTTGGGCAACTTCGCTCTGCTTCTGAAGTAAAAGAGTTTATTCTCACACATGGCCACAGCTTCCTACATAGCTGTTCCTAATAAAGTGACCACTGAGTGTCTAATGATACAGCCACTTAGAGAAAATGATTTTCTATGAAGGGATAAAGTTAAAACAGTGTTAAGTTCTGTTTTTTCACACTGTGTTTTAACTGTGGGTGATGATATTCAGAGGTTATCGGACCATGATGGTTTTTGTATTGATCTGCTATTTCTGAGTTCTATTCAGTTCGCTGGTTGAATGTGGCTGCTTCAGAGAAAGGTGACAAGGCACCAGATCAAATCACACTCTCACAGATCTGATGAAGGAATCTTTTTCAAACAGACTTTCTTTTTGGTTTTTATTTTTGTGTTTTGACCCTGAAGCAATTGTCTGATGCAGTTATGAATATTTAACATCACACAGACATTAAAGAATTTAAAACCATTTGAAGAAGAGAAAACTATTGTAGTCTGAGCTAACGAAAAATGCACTAAAACCTATTAGATGAAAAAGCTACACAACAACAATAAGACAAAACTCACTGGCTC